GTCCAGTGGTTAAGACATGCACTTCCATTGCAGGGGGTGTGGGTTTGAACCCCTGGTCAGGGAACTAAGATTCCCTCATGCCATGCAGCACAACCAAAAGATAGAAAATAAAATAGAATAACATTCGTTTAAATATAAATTGAATATACTAAAGTAATATATAAAAAGATATGACAAATGGAGTAAGGGGAAATTATTTTAAATCCTTACTTTACTGAACAAAACAAAATAGAGACAAATGAAGGCATGAAATATAAATAGGAAATGGAAACATTGCTGATGAGATGAAAAACAGTGCAAGCACTTTGGAAAACGGTTGTTTCTTTAGAAGTTAAGCATAAATTTATCAACTGACTCAGTCATTCCACTCATAGGTATCTATTCAAGAGAAATAAAAACATAGGTACAAAGACTTGTATATGAACGTTCACAGCAGATTTTTCATAACAGTCAAAAAATAGAAATAATCCAAATGTCCATCAAAGGATGAATGGATAAATAAAATGTGGTATGCCCATCAATGTACTTATTATTCAACTATAATAGGGAACAAAATACTGATATGTGCTAAATATGGCTAAACTCTGAAAACAGACCAAGTAAAAGGAGCCAGTCATGAAACACCACACAATGTATAATTCCATTTACATGAGATGTTGACTATAAGGCAATTCATAGAGGCAAAAATAGATTGTGCTTGCCCAGGTCTAGGAGCAGGAATGAGCAGTGCCTGCAAATGAGCATGAAGTTTCCATTGGGTGATAGAAATGTTCCAAATTTAGAGTCCAGTGAGGTTTGAACAACTCTGTAAATCATACACTTAAGAAATAAATTTGTGATATATAAATTAGACCTCAATAACACTATTGAGAATAAATATATCATTAATGACTTTACCTTCTATTTCTGGGTCTCAAGTTTAAATTCAATATAAAAAGTAACAAATGGATGATAAATATAATACATCAAAATAAAAATAGAATGCAAATAATTAACTGATAATAACATTTATCACACATAAGACAAAAATTTATTTAATTAGTATATAAAGATTTCAGGGACTTCCCTGGTGGCCCAGTGGTTAAGACTCTGTGTTCCCACTGCACAGGGTCCGGGTTCAATCCCTGGTTGGAGAACTGGCTCCTACATGCCCCAACTAAGAGTTTGCAAGGTGCAACTAAAGATCGTGCATGTGGCAATGAAGACCCAGTGCAACTAAATAAATATATAAACAAATATTTTTTAAACGATTTCATACAAACCTTTGATAAAAAATGGTGAGATCCCAAAATATAAATGGGTGAAGGGTACAAACAGACTAGTTCATCCTTCTCTTTGAAAAATGACTAGTAAACTTACCCAAAAAATGTATTCAATCCTATGACTAACCAGAAAATGTAAATTTGAAAAACTATGATTTTCACCAATTCAAATAGAATTTTCCAGAAATGTAATATCCCATTTTTACTGGAATTACATAATACTGGTCTATGTATGGAGAGACAAATCCTCTTGTGTCTTGTTGGATTGACTGTAAATATGGACACTCCTTTAGGAAAACAATTCTGCCATTTGTCTCAGAAGGCTGCAAAATATCTATAACCTTTGATTAAATAATTCTACTATAATTATACGATGCTAGTTTAAGAAAATAATTTAAGATATAGAGAAAAAAATTTCTTTACCTGAAAAATATGTTCAGGTAGATAGTATTTATCATAGTAGATAACAAAACAACAGCCCAACTGTTCAACAGTAGGAGAATGTTTAAGCAAACTATTCTGGGACTTCCCTGGTGGTCCAGTGGTTGATAATCTGCCTGCCAATGCAGAGGGCATGGGCTCGATCCCTGGTCCCAGAGGGTTTCACGTGCCACAGGGCAACTGAGGCCCTGTGCCCCAACTGCTGAAGCCTGTGTCCCTGGAGCCTGTGTCTGCGTCAAGAGAAGCCACTGCTACGAGAGGGCCGTGGCCCACAAGTGGAGAAAAGCCCGGGCAGCCACAGAGACCCCGTGCAGCCAAAAATAAATCAACTAATTAACAATTAATTAAAAACAAAAGCAAACAAAAAAGCTATTCTGCATTCATACAATGCAATGCTATGGACCATTAAAATATTTATGGAAAACTTGATAATAACATGGGAAATATTCACATCATCATGCTCAGTGGAAGAAAACCCCATCAGTACACAAATTAAGTGAAAAAAAAAAAATCACACCAGGATACAGTATCATTTCAATTAGTAAAAAATGTGTGAAAAGAAGATTGGAAGGAAATATACTAAAGTGTTAACTGTCACCACCTCCAGGTGAGTGAAATTTCCAAATATGCATCGTAGTAATACTTTTCTGGTTAGAATACATAACTTACTGCTGTTCTTACAAAGGGAATCTTCAAAGGCAACTATCCCAGGATACCTCACTGCCTATATTTTGAAAGTCATCAAAACCTTATCTATCAAAAATTGGTACTGGATTGACTGACCCAGTGATTTGATGTGATACATTAAAATTGAATTCAATGGACAGAACACTGCACTGTCTATTATTCACATGCCTTTTAAACCAACTTACTGATAGGTTGGCAACAGTAAGTTATTTTGCGAGGAAAAAGTTAGTAAGTCATTTGCCCACTGGGGCTGTCCACTATTATTCATGACCTGTGTGTTACATTCAATGATGGCCCAGCAGAGCAATCTCTATCTACCATATATCAAAAGCAACCATGCAATTAAGTCAATTCAGGCCCCAAGTCAGTCAGTTCAATGAGATAAATAAGGGTTTTTCTTTTAAATGTCAGTTGGCATCATGTGAAGCAAAATTGACTGACTGACTGAAGATCTCAGTTATGAACTGATTTGCAAAGTACTCTGAGCATGCCAAGCTTGCAGCCATTTTGCTTAAAGTACAGCCTGTTTTCAGCAACACTATCTCACCAGAGCCAATAAACATTTTTTTAAATCTACTATAATTATCAAGGTACAAATGTTTCCATGCTGATTGGAAACCACCCTGAGTGCAGCCTAAATGAACTGTAGGAGTGAAAGGAGACAGCCTCCAGCCTTACCTCGGAGCAGAAATTCTGAGGAAAATGGGTCTTTCAGATCTGACTTCTAAAGGAAAAGCAAAAAGAGCAGTTTCTGACAAAAGCTACCCTGCTGACATCAGCCACAAGTCCCACTCCTGTTTCCCATTACACATTTACAAGTGGCTATTACAGACCTCAACGCTGACAGCAGTTTCCTTAGAGCTGGAGACCCTCGTATTGTGATTATTGTTTCTGTTCCTTTCTACCTTCTCTGACTATAAACATTAAGCTAGAAATATCTGTTCTATTAGACCTTCTTAAGAAAACAGGGCACAGCCCCAGTCCAAAGTGGACATAAAGCACTCACCATGGAGAGGTGAGGGGTTCAGGGTCTGCTTCCAGCAATTCCATTTACAGGAGGACCTTGGGCAAGTCACTCCCCTGGGTTGCTGTGCAGGGTATGAAAAACAGCAGGTCTGATGAGTTCCAGATTCAGTACTACTATAAGCCAGGTCATCTGAAATGCAAAAGAACATAAAGAAACAATTGGTAGAAATGCATAACTAAGCTCATAAGAAAGTAAGGGAAATTCTCAGAGGACCCCTCCTCCAAATGAAGTGAGAGAAGAAACTCAGAATTTTTAAAGAGTGGTGAAGCCGAAGTTGCCTCGGGTTGTTTTCTGATATTCACTCATCAGAAAGATGAATGTGGCCTTGGGCCCTTGAAAAATATCAAGTCAAAAGGCGGATGCTTCCTTCTGCCACCCCACTTCCATGAATTAAGTTAGATCTCCAAAGGGCTACCAACACTTTTAGGAAAAGGGTGAATGACAACAATAAAAACAAGAATAAAACTACTACATAAAGGCAAAACTGTGGCTATGGGTCAAAGGGGAAGTGGTTTCCCCTGAGAACTTGTCACTTAAAGCCAACCTGTATTTACTCATTCACTCATTAAATATTTATTGAACGCTATGTGCCAGGCTGTGAGCTAGATATTGGAGATATAGCAATGAACAAAACAGATAGGCCCCACCTTGAAAGAGATTATATTCCAATAGTGGGAGACAGACAATAAACAAACATGCAGATCAGACAGTGACAAATGCTAGAAGAAAAATAAATAAGGGGAAGGAGGCTAATGAGTAACTAAATAGGGGAGAAATTTTGTCTAGTTGGGTGAAGAAAGTACCCTGAGAAATGTTAACACCTAAGTAAGACCTGAAAGGAGTGAGGGAGTGATCCATGCAGACATTAAAACAAAGTGCTCTCTAAGCAGAAGGAACCAAAAATGTAAAGGCTCCTAAGCCAGGCCTGAGGAAGACAGAGGCGGGGATCTGGGGCAGAGTAATCAAAAGAAGAGTGTAGAAGATGGGGGTGGGAGGCGTGGAGAGAGACAGCAGGCGGCCAGGTGACAGAGATGCTTGAGGGTGAACTGTTCACTTGGAAATTATTCAAAAAAGCTGGAAAGACCCTGAGGGGTGATTTAACATGTAGAAGGCTCAACAAAATGCTGTGTGGAGAACATACCATAGAAAGGCAAGTCTAGAAGCTGGCGCGCCAACTAACACAGCAGGTCAAGCAAGAGGTGGTGATGACCCAGAAAACTTGGAGCCATGGTCTGAATGCTTGCGCTCCTCCAAAATCCACATGCTGAAACCCTGATCCCCAAATCTGACGGTATCATAAGATGAGGCCTCTGGGAGGTTCTTAGGTCATGAGGGCAGAGTCTTCATGAACGCAATTAGTGTTCTCATCAAAGAGATCCCACAGAGCGCCCCCAGCCCCCTCTACCAAGTGAGGACACAGGCAGAGGATGCCAGCGATGGACCCAGATGAGGGCTGGTTCACCAGAAAACAATCAGGCTGGTGCCTCGATCTTGGTCTTCAGCCTCCAGAACCGTTAGAACACATCTCTGTGGTTCATAAGCCACTCAGTCTGTGGAATTTTGTTGTAGCAGCCTGAGCAGAATAGAACACTTGATGTAATGAAGATGGCAAAAATGGCCAGACTCTGGAAAGGAAAGGATTTCCATATTGATTAGAAGTGCATTGCGAGAGAAAGACAGGCTCAAACATGATTTCTAGACTTGTGGCCTGGTTAACAATAAGCAAATAACAAGCCCTAACACCCAGATTGTTACTTTAAACATTAATACCATTTCCCAGAATTCTGGAGAAATGGCTGATTCCAAGTCTGTGACAGAAAATGTATAAAAAAGAATCTAGCACTTCTTGTCACACCAGAAAATTAAGAAGCTTTTGGAAAATATTACAGATGGGTCAAAAGGATGCACAAACCAATTTAAATAGGCTCCCAATGGCCAAAGGTGGAACAATTGGGCATCAATAGATTTAATAGCTGCAATGGATTGAAATATCAGATATATCTTAAATGTGATAATAAATTTCAAAATTCATTGGTCATATCCAGAGGACACAGGGTATCAATGTGTCCCTTTGAGGACCAAATCAAGCAAACTGAATCTACTTACAAAACTGTATCTTGGGATGCAAAATAGTTGATGAGGAGAAGGCTTTCTCTATAGAAGTATCCAAACTAATAAATGAAGTGGGAGCAATAGAATTTTAATACTTCAACCCCATAATTAAATAATGAATCTAGGTAATAATCATTAATGGCTGTTGTTAACATCACTTAAAGAAAACAGGTAACTGGATATTAATAATATATGCTCTCTGATGGGTGGAAGTACAATACATTGCCTGATGCATTCTTGTCAAAAAAATTAAAGCTAAATGTGAACAGCTCTCTAGATCTTACCACCAATTTACAGGAAATAGAGGCTTCTGTGAATCATGCTGATTGACACATTGGAATGCAATCAGCAAAAACCAGGCTGCGGAAACTATACAGAATAAATGACCTGATTTCTTCAACAAAGACACTGTAAAGAACAAGAAGAGAGAGAGAAAGAGGAAATCTATGTAGCAAGAAAGACTCCAGAGTTATATCAAACAATTGTAATCTATGAATCTTATTTGAGGATGGATTTGAAACAAATAAATGCAATTATAATTTCTGGCATACTCATGGAAAAAATGTTTTAATCTGCCAATACCAAGAGTAAGCAAGGCTGTGGTATAATTAAAACCCTTCTACACTGCTTGCGGGAGTACAAACTGACACAACCACTTACTAGTCATCAACGAGGGCACTCAAAGCTGTACATGCCCTACAAATGAGCCTCCTACTCTAGCTTTATGCCCTGGAGAAACTCTCGCCTGTGGGCAGCAAGAGACAGTATGGGAGTGGACACAGTAGCAAAGTTGGAAGAGTAAGAACCTCCGACCCAAATGTCCAGTCACAGCAGCCAAACTAAAGTATGGTATATTCATAAAAAGAGATCTCACAGATCAGTGAAAAATGAGTCAACAGTTACCTGTAGCTACATGGATAAATTTCACATCACATTGCATATTTTAAAGAATACTACATAATACCATTATGTATTAAGAATAATAACATTTATATCAAGTTCAAAAGCTTATAAATGTAAACACTGTATTAAGGTTTTAAGTGTGTTTGATGGCCTTAAAAGGCCCGACACAGGCTGGACAGGTCTATAGGCAATAAAACCACACAAATGATAAAAGGGAAATGCAGCCAAGGGTCTACCTCAAGGCCAGAGGGTGTGAGGTTCTGGATTAGGGAACTGATGCACAGCACCTTCAGGTACCACTTCTCAAACTGGCTGTGGACATATGTGAATTTGTTGTATTATTCTTTATACCATATACATATATTTCAATTATCTTATGTGTAGACAACATTTCAAAATTTTATAGAGAGGGTGAACCAAATGACTAAAACCCTTCCTAACACTTAAAATTCAACTCATGTGAAGTCTCATTTCCCTCATTTTCCTCTTGGGAAAAATAATAGCAACTATCTCAAAGGATGTGGTGAAGATTAAATGAGTTAATGCATATAAAGTGCTTGGATTAAAAGCACGGGGAAAAAAAGAAAAAGATTTAGGACTAGTAATGAATATATAAATGCTCCATTATTTATAAAGAAAGGGTGACTCTGAAATTCATAAATCTGAATAAAGTGTGCACAAACCTTTCGGATGTGTTTGAAGAGATGATCTGTGTGCACCAGTGCCATATAACTTTAATATACTAATAATATCAATTATGTCCAATTAAATCCTATCATCTCTTTATTTTAATGCCAAAATAAATAAATAAATAAAGTGCTGGGATGAGAGCCAGACATATATGAAGACACATTAAGTACTCAATAAATATAACTCCAACTATTACCATCAGCCTCCTATTGATCACCAGAACTGCCAGGAGAACACATCTTTCATCTTAAAATGGAGAGGAATTATTAAAATCCCAAACAAAGGAGGCTGTAGTGGAATAATATTTTGTATTGCTGCCTGCAGCAGCCAAGCAAGGGCCAGCCAGGGAAGCCCTCCTCATCCTTTCTCCGCCCCTGGCTGGCCTGATGGGAACCACAGGCTGGGTCCAAAGGCTTACGCCCTGAAGAGTCAAGACAGATCATGCTGAGAATGCAACTGGCCAAATATTCTCAAGAAGCCTGGAGATAGCCATGTCTTCCGGCTTAAAGGTGATGACCTCATTTAAAACCATCTGTCCAACCTGCCCCAGGCCTTTTAAGCCAGTCAGACAGACACACTCACCACCGTGACTGGGCATTCCCCATTACTCCTGACCTGACTTTACTCAGTCTCGTCTGTACCAATCATGAACCCTTGACTCCGTGATTCTAGCTTGCCCCAGACATTCTGGACTTGGTCCTATTCTTAGCCTCCCTATCATTCATGCTACAGTTTTTCCTAGCAAACTACAGCTTGTCTGGCCCTGCGGTGCTTCTCCTTCTGCAATGTACTGAATGGAAGAATATTCTCTGGTTCCAGGCCCAACACTGGTGGGTTTGATAAAATGCTTTTGGTTGCAAGTAACAGCAACCCCAAGTTGACATAAACAATCAAAAGATGGTATTGGCTCAGTGATTAAAAACTAGTCACAGGGTGAGTTTCGGTGGCCAAATCATGGCACCAGAGGCACAGTTTCTTCTCCTCTTGTCTCCTGCAGTACCTGCTTCTTCCTTAAAACTGATTGCCTGCATGTTTGCAAACTGGCTGGAAGCAGCTACAGGGGTTATGTGTTCCCTTCTTTATGTCTAGCAGAAAGGGAAAACTCTCTCCCAGTAGCTCTCTTAAAAATGAAGCGTCTTCTTTCCTAAAAGTCTCTAGAGAAAAAAATTTTTGCTCATTGGTCTAAATTGGGTGGTGTGTCCTGAACTAGGCACTGTGACCAGGGGTGGATCTTCTGGCTGGGAATTAGATGACAGAGCCTGAGGAGATGTGTTTGGGGGTGGAGGCTCCTCTCCCAGAGCACAGGGGCTGCTGGAAGAGGCATGATGCCTGGGCCCTGCTTCACCCTCACCCTAGATCCACCTCTGCTCTGCTCTGTGCCCTTGGGGCACACCCTTCACAATGTACCACCCCAGCTGTCCTGCTCCCTGGCTTCTAGTTGGATTTGACCCCAGGAACATCAGCGGAAGATCTGAAGGTGGGAGGAGAACAGGGCAGGAGTGACTGTCCCCCCAGCTCGCTCCCTGCTGTGCTGTGGTTCTAACAGAGGCTGTGCTCCTCTGGACGGACATCCCCTGGAGGTTCGCCCCCCGACACTTCCAGCTCTAGCGGTTCCCTCCCTCCCCCCCAGGCCCAGCGGTGGTAACAGCCCCCATTGTCACTTGCCTCCAAGTGCTCCCCTGTCCCCTGCCCACCCCATCTGTGTAACCATCCCCTTCACTGAACCCTGGAGCGCGGTCATGTGTCTCCTTCCCTGGTCTGGCTACCACAGCATCTGAGTGAAGACTGGGAAAACCTTCCCAAGAGGAAGGGAGGACAGATGCCAGGCAGCCCCAAACCACAAATACCCACAATTCTTGTTCCCCCTTCAGCCACCCCACTAATGGGAAGCAAGAAACTGTCCCTTCATGGTTTCCAACAGATAATTCACTATTTTAGCTTGTTATTCTGCTATGGATTGCATATGATATGAACAATATTTACATACACATGTACACACATAATGGGAGTTTTGTCTCTTTCTAGAGAAATGCTCTCATCACTCCCTGAATGCTAAGGACTTCGGGTTGCTTCATGAGCTCAGACAGAAAAGTGCTTAAACCGTCAGACCTGCTGTTCCTGCCAACAAACGCCGTCGGATGGCTCAGAGCACGTTTCAGTGAACAATCAGAAGATGAAAGACAGAACAACAGGAGAGGTGGGAGGGAAGGGAACCTCAGAATAAAGACCTAAATGAGCTATTTCTGGTGCGGACAAGCCAAGGACAGGTGAGGCTGAGCCACTCTGGGGGAGGGGAAACATATAGGAAAGGGGGCACAAGTTGTGGGGACCTGGGGTCTGTTACGCAGGATTCCGACTGAGTAGAAAAGGTGTCCAGATACAAGAGGGAGGAGCACAGCAAAAGATGGGCTCAGGGCTGTGGAGAAATCTCATTCCCAAAAGCCGCCCACCCCTACCCCTTCAGGAAGAGGGAGCCCTTAGAACTGGTCTAACTGGTTGTCAACTGAGACGAATTGAAGAGGAAACACTTCTGGGCTTTGTCATGGTGAATGTAGGTCTACCTGGGGTCTGTTACGCAGGATTCCGACTGAGTAGAAAAGGTGTCCAGATACAAGAGGGAGGAGCACAGCAAAAGATGGGCTCAGGGCTGTGGATTGAGCCCTTAGAACTGGTCTAACTGGTTGTCAACTGAGACGAATTGAAGAGGAAACACTTCTGGGCTTTGTCATGGTGAATGTAGGTCTACAGGCGTGTGTGTGTGTGTGTGTGTGTGTGTGTGTGTGAGAGAGAGACAGACAGACAGACAGACAGACAGACAGACAGAGTTCCCATCACCCATTACGTTCTCCTCTCCCCGCTCATCCCCTCTGCCGCAGCGTGAGCGTGCTTTCCTGGGGGAGCCCACCTCCATTCCCTGGCCCCATCCTGACATCTGGGGAAGGACACACACACACACAGGGCCCTACCCCTGGCATCCCACCGCACAACAGCTGTTCTGGCCACGTAAGAAGCATGGGGTTCACCGGTCATTCTCCACAGGAACAAAGCGCCAAGGACGCAGAGATAATCGTATCAAAGGGATTCAACTTCCTGGATGACCTCACTCCACAGATCTGCAGAGAACAGATAAGCATCTCAGGGCCCTGGCAGCGGCCCCTCCAGGGAAGGAAAGGGCTAGGAAGCTGACTTTCCGCAGTCTGTGCTGCCTTCCTTGACCCAGGGACAGGCCACCTGCAGCCTCCAAAGTCAGGATGCCCCATGTCAACTCCTGCCAGCTCCACAAGAAAGGCGACGAGGGCCACGCTACCCCCAGGGTAAGGCCTCCACTGACCCCACTGGGGCCCCGGGAGCCTTTCCTTCTGCGTCCCCCCAACAGAGATTTCTCATATTTTCATTCAAATGAATTTGTATTTCATTTCTGAACTTTTTCTTTCTTTCATGTTCTCAGAATATACAGCATAAAAATAAAAGAATAGGTTAAAAAAAAAGTATATCTCAGAACATAATTTGTGAGCCTTATAGTTATAATTAGCAATAGAGGAAATGAAATGATGTTTCCAAGCATTTATTTAGTCATTATCCCGATATATTTTTTTTAATTCTTTCTGCACCAGACACAAATTCAAGCCTAGGAGACAGAAAGTTAACACACGTCCCCTGTTCTGGAAGAACTCACAGCTCACAGATTTGTTGGAAGTCATAGACACTTAAACAAAGGGCTATTTAAGTGCTCCAAAGTCATTTTACCCCTAGGAATTCTACTAATATTGTATTAAATTATAAATCAGCCAGAGGAAAAATCAGTTATCAAAGCTTTGTTTTATAGTGCTCAATGCTGGCACCAGGATTTGTTAATTAATCCAATACTCCTGCCTACAATCAACTGCCTTGTAGTTTCTGGAACATGCAAAGATTCTAAATTCTTACTAATAGGGTAGCCACTTGCCACCTGTGGCTGCTGAGCTCTAGAAATGTGACTAGTGTGACTGAGGGATAGACATTTAAATTTTATCTAATTTTAATTAATTTAAATAGTCACCTGCAGCTGGTGATTTCCAATCTGCATATCACGGTTCCAGAATTCTAGTCCTATTTAGATCTGAATAGATTTACCAAAACCAGTGAAGATTGAAATCAAGTAACCCACCAATGGGCCTGTTCAACGAGGCATTAATAAATCAACTGCCTGCCCACCTGGACTCATCCGACCTTGAATGTCTGGAAGAAAATGAACCTGTTACTCAGTTGGAGCAGAAAAGGAGGTAGAAAGTGTAACCATGAAGCAAGGTTAAGCACCTAAAACAGAAGACCGGGGTGGGAGGGGCAGAACACCACCAAGCAGCTGAGTGTCAAAAAGCAGAACTAAAGCAGGTTTACACTCAAGTCAAATTTATAAAAAATTGAGATATTAATCAACATAATATAATTCAAAACCCATTCACTGACAACCCTCCTTCCATCAAGAAATGTCTTTCTGAATGTTTCTTGTGTGCTCAGCACCAAGCAGGAATTATTAAGACATCTACGGCAACATCAAACCCTGTCTTAAAGAAGTTGAAATTCTTGCATGAAAAGACCAGACTCATGCATACAACAGTGAGAAAACTATACAAGACAGTATCCAGTGAAGCACTAAGGGTATTTAACTTAGCCACAGTTACAACTGTGGGCTTTCTGCTGGCTCAGAGGGGAAAGAATCTGCCCACAATGCAGGAGACATGGGTTCAACCCTTGGGTTGGGAAACCCCCTTGGAGAAAGGAATGACTACCCATTCTAGTATTTTTGCCTGGAAAATCGAGACAGAGGAGCCTGGAGTGCTACATACAGTCCATGGGGTTGCAAAGAGTCAGACACGACTGAATGACTAACACACACACACACACACACACACACGGTAAGCACCAGTTAACTAAGTGGAGAGGAAGGGAGGGGTGAGTGAAGACTGCAGTCACGTCTTTATGGGCAAGGGGAGTTTCAAGGTGGGCTTTCTGCAACTCTCAGGACTCAACTCAAGTCAGTCTGGCCTCCACCCATCTTCAGCAGCATCCTCATCAGACAACCCCACACCAGTTTTTGCCAACATGAAGTTGTTTCCCAATTTGCTCGCCATCTCTAACGCTGAGCCACTGTATACACAGAACCACTGGTGGACCTACCGGGACCCCCAGCGCTGGAGTCACAGACAGACCTCTGCTTGCATCCCAGCCTCTCCAAGTCCTGGCTGGGGGACCTCAGCCAAATTCCTTAACCCCCTCCAAGCCCTGATTTCCCCAGATGTAAAATGAGAGTTGGAGAAGGAAATGGCAACCCACTCCAGTATTTCTGCTGGGAGAATCTCATGGACAGAGGAGCCTGGCGGTCCATAAAAGCTGGACACAACTGAGTGACTGAACAGCAGCAGCAACAAGAATCAGAGTAATATGACCCACGATAGGGTTTTTGTGATAACTGAGATAAATAAAAGCCTTACAAACAACTTTAAAAAAGACCCCTGCTTTTCATACTTTGACTGACAATTTTCAACCTACCTTAAGATTCTGCTCAGGTATTTCTTGACCGCCCTTGTTGTTGGGGGCTTTTCACAAAGGGATACTATGAGGATAGCACTCGTAGCCAGTGAGGTAACATATCCCAGTTCACCAAAACAGTCCCAGTTTTTGCTTGGTGTCCCGTGTAGTTTTTGGCATTTGTCCTAGATGCTTTATTTTTCTGTAAACTACTGTTGGTGATGACTGCATTAAAATATGTTGGGGAGGATGCTTCCCTAGTGGCACTAGTGGTGAACAATCCTTCTGCCAATTTCAGGAGCTGCAAGAGACAAGTGGGTCTGATCTCTGTTGGGAAGATCCCCTGGAAGAGGAAATGGCAACCCACTCCAGTATTCTGGCCTGGGAGATTCCCTGGCAGCTACAGGCCATGGAGCTGCAAAGAGTCAAAGACAAGACTGAGTGGCTGAGCACACAGGCACATGTTCGGGACGGAGAGTTTGGTGGGCGTCCACTTTGCCTTTCCAACCTCCTGCAAGTATGTAAGGTCCACAGGCAGTAAGCGGGGTTCTTACTCTAATACATGCTGAGATCTGAAAGATGATCAGCCATAAACTGTCTTTTTTCCTGAGCTTTCCTAGATGAAAATAGGAACAGGTGAAAACTAAGATCTCCTTTTCAAGGACAGCACACTTACTGCTGATAAAATGAAGTATGTATATAACTCTTCCTGGTCTTGGAAAGCTGGGGGTGAACTATTGGGCACCACAGCTCCTGCTGGCCATCTGGTGCACCCACCAGGGTGTGCTGGCCAGGCAGGGGCCTGAAAGATGCACAAAGCCACCACACCTTCAGTCACTGCAGCCTTTGGAAAATAAGAGAAATTAAATATGTTAGGCTCTTGTGTGAAATATACAAGAATTAGAGACTGAGCAGAGATACAGTAAAGAGTACAACAACTAATCTGAATATTCTTGCTCTAGAGGGATTTTCCTTTAAATATGGATAAAATTACAACTATTTATTTTACTATTTGGTAACACTTTACAAAATTTGGCAATAAATGTTTTCAGCAGCAAGTCAACAAAAAATGTGCATGTTAAATTTAAAGTTAAATTTAAGTACTGAATTTTCATGTATCAAGAGAACTGATGAATATGCAACTTGTACAATATCATTGATAATATTTATTGCCCACCACCAGATCCCAGTAACATCATGGACCACACAAACACCAAATACAAGTCTACTAAAGAAGTTCCAGCCTCTACTTCAAAAGTTAGAACTATTTTAGGAAGGCTGTGCTCCCAAAAATAATTCCACAAGAACAGCTGCAGAAGGCGTGTGTATCAGTGAAGCATGACTTTTCATTTAGATCAAACTACTCTTCTCAATTAACTTTGCCCATTTTTATTCCATGTCTGTACAAGCAAAAAAGTGAATCGATAGCTGTGTGTGTGTTGGTAACATTAGTAAAAGAATTGCCAAACAGTTGCAAAAAACCCTTTTTATATCAGAGTCTTCAGATACTTCATATAGAAAATCAGTGAATTCCAACTACGGTGTGATTTTTTTCCTTCCATACAGTTCATGAAATCACAATAAAACTGTTTATTTTCAGGTAAAACAGCTGACATTGTTTTACTGTTATATATTCAGTTCAAAAGTTTGACTGAAGATAAGATGTGTTTTGCAGTAATAATATGAATACAAATTTAGGGAAAGCTTAGGTTTGTGGAAAAATAATGTTCTTACCAAATTAAGAAAGCTGCAGAGCAGACTGTACTTGGAAAACTGTAGTCGAGCACAATCCATGATTGTCTCCAAAGAACTGTGATATTCCACCGAAGGTCGAAAATTACAAATGTTTTTATGTGTAAACAAAGTAACCAAAGTACAAAACTCTTCTGATAGAGCTTATGTTAAGCATCCAGTCACTCCTCTCAAAACAAAGCCCTTGCATCAACAATAACAATAAAAACTTCAGCTTGGCAGTGCACATTTTCTCACTTTCTCTACTGCCCATCAGCAAGCTGATTTTAGAAATGTTTGAGCCTTTGAATGACTATTTTGTAAATCAACCTATGTGCCCTAGAAAACTAGAGAATTATTTTGGAATAGTTCATTAAATGCTGGTTGCATTTTAATGAAAGTCAATTGGAATATTTTAATAAATTATTCAATAAATGGAGCACAATAAAATTCAGGTTGTAAAGCTCTTTATGAATTATAATTATCTAAAACAAGCTTACCCAGGGACACATTGAAACTGTCTCTACCAAAGCAAGGAAGAAAATGAAGAAATTAAAGTGTGGAACTCAGAGGTATATAATACCTTGACTTGTAGGAAGGATCTTTTGACGAAGCTCTTATTTTTAATTGAATCAATTTATATTCTTTATTGAAGTGGAATATAATTGAAAAGGCTAGCAATTTTACAACATCTAACTTTAGTGAAATATTCAAAAGCATCATAAATAGTGAGAAATAATTTGACAATTTGCGCCTGGTAAAAGTATTCACTGAATAAAGGTGCTCTGAATGGGGGAAGTTATTTTGGCTGAAATATTAACACAGTCCAATTTGAAAACATTAGAATCAATCAAACATTAGAAACTCTATTTAGCCGCATTAGCTCGAAGCTTACTAAATAATTCAGCAACTCCAGAGAGAGTATTTTCTCAGTCAAAAATACTTGGGTTCACAGAGAAAGGTCAGTTTCAAGTTTACTAATCATGTAATGCAACTGAAAATGATACAATGGTAAATTTTAAATTTAAAAATTAAGAAAAGTGAAATAAATACATTCTTCAAAAGTGTCAGGAACTTACCTCAATGCAAACAAATATGACTGAAAATTGATTAAAGTTGTGAATGTGTATTTATAGACAATAATGTACAGTAATTACAGGCATAGGGACTTCCCTGGTGGTTCAGCGGCAGGGGACCAGGGCTCAATTCCCGGTCAGGGAACAAGATTCCTCATGCCACGACTATGATCGGGTGCAGCCAAACAAATAAATAAAAATATTTAGAAAACCCAGTATTATAGGCATAACTCAGAAATAGTGCAGGTCTGGTTCCTGACCACCTCAGCAAAGTGTATATCACAGGAAAGTGAGTCATACTAATTTTTTGGTTTCCCAGTGCATGTAAAAGTATGTTTACACTCTACTGTGTCTATTAAGTGGGTAAGAGCAATATATCTAAAAAATAACATACATACCTTAATTAAAAAAGACTTTGTTGCTAAAAAAAAAAAAAGGAAAAATGCTATCACCTAAACCTTCAGCAAGTAATAATCTTTTTGCTGGCGGATGGTCTTGCCTCAGTGTTGATGGCCGCTGACTGATCAGAGGGATGGTTGGTGAAGGTCGGGGTGGCTGTGGTAATTTCTTCTTTTATTTTGTTTTGTTTTGTTGCTGTTGTTGCTTTTTTGACAGTTTCTTAAAATAAGAGAACAATGAAGTTTGCAGCATCAACTGACTCTTCATGAATGTTTTCTCTGTAGCATGCAATGCTGTTTGACAGGATCTACCCACAGCAGGACTCCTTTCAAAACTGGAGTCAGTCCTCTCAAACTGCCACTGCATTAATAACTAAGTGTACATAATGGTCTAAATCCTCTGTTGTCATTTCAACAAAGAATCTTCACTAGGAGCGGTTTACATCTCAAGAAATCACTTTCTTGGCTCATCCATAAGCAGCAACTCCTTACCCATTAAAGTTTTATCACGAGACTGCAGCAAAGCAGGCATTGTCTTCAGGCTTCTAACTCTAGTTCTCTGGCTACTTTCCTTCACATCTGAAGTTACTTCCTCCTGAGGTTTTGAATCCCCTTCAAGTCATCCATGAAGGTTGGAATTAACTTCTTCCAAACTCCTGTTAACACTGATATATCAACCTTTTTCACGAATCAGAAATGTTCATAAATGGCATCTAGGATGGTAAATCCTTTCCAGGAAGCTTTCCCTATTTTTGCCCAGATCCATCAGAGCCATTGCTATCTACGGCAGCTACAGCATTGTGAAATGTGTTTCTTAAATAGTAAGACGTGAAAGTTGAAATTACTCCTTGGTCCACGGGCTGCAGAATGAGGATTTTGTTTCAGCAGGCATGGAAACATTAATCTCATTGTACAGCACCTTCAGGGCTCCTGGGTGACCAGGTGTGTTGTCACTGAGCAGTATTATTTTGAAAAGAATTTTGTTTTCAGAATGGTAGGTCTCAAGAGTGCCCTTAAAATATTCAACAAACCATGTTGTAAACAGATGTGCTGTTACCCCAACTTTGTTGTTCCACTGACAGAGCACAGGCAAAACAGATTAACCATAATTTGTGAGGGCCCTAGGATCTTCAGAATGGTGACTGCACTGGCTTTCAACCTGAGTTCTCCAGCTGCATTAACCCGCAACAGGCGAGTCCTGCTGGCCTTTGAAGCTTTGGAGCCAGGCACTGACTTTTCTCAAGGGTGACCTTCTTCCAAAAAGGCTGCTTTGTCTACATTGAAACTCTGTTGTTTAGAGTAGCCACCCTCACTAACAACCCTAATGAGATCTCCTGGATAATGTGCTGCAGCTCTCACATCCGCACTTGCTGCTTCACCTTGCTCTCGGATTTTATGAAGATGGCTTCTTTCCTCAAACCTCATGAACCAACCCTCCATTAGCTTCCAACTTTTCTTCTGCAGTTTCCTCACCCCTCTCAGCCTTCAGAGAATTGATGAGCCTTGTTCTGGATTAGTCTTTGGCTTAAGGGAATGTTGTGGCCAGTAGGATCTTCTATTGTTGTTTAGTCACTAAGTCGTGTCTGACTCTTTGTGACCCTATGGACTGTCGCCCGCCAGGTTCCTCTGTTCATGGGATTTCCCAGGCAAGAATACTGGAGTGGGTTGCCATTTCCTCCTCCAGGGGATCTTCTCAACCCAGGGATCGAATCTGCATCTCCTACCTTGGCAGGTGGGCTCTTTACCATTGAGCCACCAGGGAAGCCCCATGATCTTCTATCCAGACCACTAAAACTTTCTCCATATCAGCAATAATGCTGTTTCACTTTCTTGTCGTTTATGTGTTCACTGGAGTAGTACTTTTAGTTTCCTTCAAAAACTTTTCCTTTGTATTCACAATTTGGCTAACTGGTACAAGAGGCCTGGTTTTCAGCCTATCTTGGCTTTCAACACACCTTCCTCATTAAGTTTAATCGTTTCTAGGTTTTTTGGAAACACTGTGCGGCTTGCGGGATGATAGTTCCCCAACCAGGGATTGAACCGGCGCTCTTGGTAGTGAAAGCCAGGGAATTCCCTCATTTCCAACTTTCGATTTAAAGTGAGAGACATGTGACTCTGCCTTTCACTTGAACACCTAGAGGTCATTGTCGGGTTATTAACTGGCTTAATTTCAAAATTGCTGTGTCTCAGGGAATAGGAAGGCCGAAAGAGTGGGAGAGAGAAGGGGAAATGGCTGGTGGGTGAAGTGGTCAGAAAACACACAGTATTTATCTAGTTCATGGTCTTATATGGGCGAGGTCCATGGTGCCCCAAACAATTACAATAATAGCATCAAAGATCACTGATCACAGATCATCATAACAAATATAATAAAAATGAAAAGGTTTAAAATACTTCCAGAGTTACCAAAATGTGACACAGAGACAGAAAGTGAGCAAATGCTGCTGGAAAAATGGTGCTGAATAGACTTGCTTGCCACAAAACTTTGTTTTGTGTTGGGGAAAAAAAAAGAAAAGGCAGTATCTGGGAAGCACAATAAAGTACAACAAAGCCATACAACAAGGTGTGCCTGTAATGTGTTTTGCTTATATTTTCTTAATCTGTATCAAATTATTTATTTAAAAATTTTGGTTTGCACA